ACTTGGGTTATAACTATCACCCTCCACCTCTCTTCTTTGCTGCCCTGACAATATAAACCACATTTTTCTCCTAAAGAGAGCCAAAAGCTGCAAACTTTTAATATAAGTTTATCAAATGTTTCTCTTTCAGAAAAATCTCTCTTTACATAATTTACTTATTGCCTGTTGAATTTTGGTTTAAAAAAAGTATTTTGAATTTATAAAAAATACTGCTCTGCAAAGCGGAAGAAAATAAAAAAAAAATATTATTTTCTAAAAAAAAAGATTTGTTGTCATTTTTGAGGTTCTGGATACTTTAAAATGTCTTTGTTTTAAATCCATGAAATTAAAATAAATGGAAAAATGAAATATTTCTTTATATTTTTTTTTCCACTTTACATTGTATAATCTGTATTTTTCTTTCTTTTTATACCGGTACATCTAAAAAAAAAAACAGCCATGCTATAACTCTATCATAGTATTGTAAAACTCTTCAAATGAAAGATGTTTTAACAAATGTCTCATGTTTTTGCCCTTTCTCTATCACAACCTATCCTTTATGTTTATAATAATGTTAACAGATTTCGTAAGCCTAGAAAAGAAACTTTGCTGACACAAGAATACTATAAGAGCTACGAACAGGACCAGGATATGGATAACATCTCCACACACAGAGGAGACTGGGACCTATCCCAGAAGCCCCCACGCCAGAACAGCAGCATTACTGAGAAGTGGGGCTTTCTGAAGAGCAACAATGTGACCCCTGACCACAAGAAAGGTCTGCTGGAAGAGCATGATGAAATGGACACTGAGCTACAAGTGGTCAGCTCAATGCTTTAAATGTTTGTTTTATCCTAGCAAATGAGTTAGTTCTCAAGTTTGTATGGCCATTTTTTGTTATGAAGAAAATCAAATTTTTTAAAACATCAAATTGATGTTGTAACTTTTAGTGATACATGCATTTATCATGTACCTTTTTTTTATATTGTGTAAGTATTTTGTTTAACATCCTGAAAAGAAAAAAAAATATTTTCATTTATTATACAAGGATTTATACTTGAAAGAACTCAATTATTTATTCTTAAATGTCCTTGACCAGTTGGTTGACTAAACTTGCCAGGAAAAACATAGTATAGAAGCATAAAAAATCTTCAATCATAATTTATCAATATATGTAATATTATCACCTGTTCTTTTTGTAGAACATAGGGCTCCATAATATAAGCCACTCTCCACTCTTTCCATTCAAGTTTTTTTCTAGCCTCTTTTATATCCATTCATTCTCATTTAATCCACTATCCATAATGTTCCTTTTGGTATTCTTCTACGTCTTGTGCCATGCAGAACTGCTCTAGATGGCATCCTTCCTAAGGGCTCGCCCAGTCTCTATTTTCTGTCAGATATTTGTGCTTTCATATTTCTCTTTAAGCACATCTTGCACTTTATGACTGTGAAAAATACATTGTGATATAAATGTTTGAATAATATTTAAAGACTGTTGTATTCTTTTTAAAATATCTATTGTTGGCCTATATATGTAGCATACTCATATTGTATAAAGATTGAATTTCATTTTTAAGCAATAAATATTCATCACATATCTTTTTGTTTATGTCTGCTTGACCAACCTTTGTTATAATATGTCCAAGTTTTACATATATTTGTCTTCACTAAATGCTATTTAATTATTATGTGACAATTAAAGCCATTGATTTTTTTCTATATCTTATTCTCAAGTTGGTTTGTCTTAAAAGAGTGTAGTTTTGTATGTGGGGAGTTGTTATTGTCACAAAGAGTACAAAAAGAAATGGGGCAAACAAAGACAGAGGGATTTTGGTACCTCCCTACCAATCCACTAATGCTTTGTGAATTCAGCAGCCCTGAAATATGCAGTCCACAGTGTCATGCTTTAACAGAAGCCTTGAATATCTTCAGCAAAACTTGAATCAAAATTCTTCTCAGAAAACTGTCAGATCTAGTTGCTAACACTCAACAAATGATCAGGGTTACAGTTTCAATTTTGTGTGTCTTTTAAAACACTACATTGTTTTTTAAAATATATGATGTGATTATTTTACTAGGAGAGAAAAAAACAACACTGTGCCACTCTACAGGCCACATAGGCCATTTTCTTAAACAATCTTTTGTAGTTATCATTTTGATGCAGTTAGTTTGTTGAAATTATATATTCCATGCTCTACAAAATTACCCTTTTTAGTGTGTGTGTGGGGGGGGGGGGGGGGGGTAGAAGAGAATCTTAAACTTTATATTGTCTTATTAAATTAATTGTAAATATCTCATTCAGTTCTGTCTTAAGGGATAGGTGTTGTAGAAGTAATTTTTGAAACCATCACTTTGCCTTGATGCACATTTGATTACTTTAATTACTATTATTAGTGATAGTTCATTTAGTTTTGACTAAAGAATAATTTTTTTTTGCAATATTTTATGGAATTGATGTTTCCCCCCTCCCCCCATTCAGTTGTTGGAACTACATAGAATTGAAGATCAGGTTTGTTTGTTTTTATTGTTAAGCATTTTATATTACAAAAGTGAATAAGAAGTTTCACTTTAACAAGAGCAATGCAATGCCTCTTAATAACATAAAAAGTGAGAAGACATGGCTAGTTGAAATTAAATCACATCATTAAATATTGGCACAATATGTGAAAGGTTAACATGGTCTTTCTTTGAAATTAAGGGCAAAAATATTGCTTCTTTAACCTATTGTCTTAATAATTGTGTGAATCAAAATTGCTCAAATCATTTGTTTGTTATAGGTATTTATGAGATTTTTTTCACCAGCCTGCAAACCCAAGGAATTAAACAAGAATGACTTGATTCAAAAACATTTTTATTTAAAATATATTTTCTAAGGCATAAAAACAGAAATTATTTGTTAGTTTATTTTGGTTAATAATGACAATATTCAGAATTGGACAGCACAAATCATTTTCATAAACTTTAACTAATTTTATAATTATGCAGGGCTGATTGAACTGATTACCATACTTGAAAATGCAATCAACTATCTTTAAAAAAAAAATATATATTTCTGATACATTGTGATAAATAATAAAATCTAAATCAACATTTCCATTACTTCACTCCATCCATTTTTGTTTACACATTTTGAAAATTTAGTTTATTGTAGTCTGTTCATAGGACAGTCACCTCACCATTTGAAAAGAAGAATTTCATTGAAGTTTTTGTGATTCACTAATATTTGAATACAACTTTTCATCACCAACTGGATTCAAATCAAGGCCATCACATTATACTCTCAGTGTATGGTGTCTAGACATAGGGTTACCTGGTGACTTTTGACAAATTTGTAGAAAATCTGTGTCATAGTTATGTTATAATTTTATCATAATTAATAGATTAAATTTTCTTTTTATCCCAATGCATGTTCCTCTTCAACTCTCCCATTTATGTGACCATCATCTGCTCCCAACTTGATCATTTCCAGCCCAATCTTTTGTTAAAAGGGTAGGAATGTTTCAGCTTGGTCTTTCATTCTGTTTCATTGTGGTTCAATTGATGATGTAGCTTCAAAACTTTATTATAGCTTGATTGGACTGAAATTGTATATTTTTATTACTCTTATAATAAATGACTGTGTAAATGACCTCTGTAGCTGTCATGCTGCTTTGTTTAATTGTTGCCTTAAAAACTGTTTCATCTCCTAATGACCTTAGCTTTTTTTTTTATGTACACAAAGTTCTTGTAGCTTCCTTGTGTAAAATTGAGCCTATTACATGAAATTTAAGTAATTTATTTGAACCATAATAGATTGTTTTAGATCATTAAATACTGAAGAGATTTGGGTGGGAGTTTTGAGCGGTTCAGTTTATCTATATATTTGTTGTTATATTTTATAATATTTTAAGGAGACTAGACATTGAGAAAAATGAACTTAATGAAGTTCTGTTTATGTAAAAATGCCTCGTGGACCTAAAGAAGTTGAACTTATGGCACATATACATACATTCAGTTCACTTTAATTTTTTTATTTTATCAAATATTGGTTGTGGTGGCTGAGTGGTAAAGCTTGTACCTGATGAAAAGAAGATGAGTTTTACTCAGAAGACCATCTTCAGATCTTCCTACTCTAATGGGAATATCCTGTTTTTAAATGCCAAGTAAGTAGATTGGCGTTTTTGGACATATGTCTTTAAAAAAAAAATGTTGCATAATCATTTGTGTATGTCTATTTTCTGATGAGCCACAGAGATTATGATGTCGGGGATCAACTCCAATTTATCATGTGATTTATAATTGTTGCTGCTTTGGGCCTTTTCTTTTCATATACATTTAAGGTTTTTGAATACTTATTACGGTATACAATGTAAATATTTAAGCCAGTTAAAAAGCTGCATCAGTTATTTGTGTCTGTGTAAATACATGTATTATATATGCTTGTATGACGTATTTGTTGTTTGTTTTTTTTAAAGGGAATGGGCTTTTCCAATGCTCACTAATATGTTAATAAAAAAAACCTTAGTCTTGAGACTATTCAACTGAACGTTAAATATAATTATGTTTTAATTATCAACTAGTATTTTTGTTTACCCTTAAGCAGTTTGCTGCACTCAGTGCAACACCCTTGCAGCTGAGCCCAAACTGTATCGGCACTTGCTGTTAATTTGGATAGATCAGCTTTGTGAAGGAAGAAACTGTTGTGTGGACGACATCTTTCCCACCTTAGTTAATGCCCAGGCATTCAAGATCCAGGCAATAGGTTGTAAGAATTATAGTTTCAATATCAGAGGAAATTACCACACAGCTAATAGCAAGAGGTTAAAAAAATTGGCTACTTATTATGTGGATTTTGCTTTGAATTCTGATGTGACATCCCACTCAAGCGCTGGAGACAGAATGTCTGGTCTCATGTAACTATCAGAGTACGAGATATCTAGTGGAATAGTTTTAGAATTCCTCTAGCTACTTCTTGCTCTTGAAATGACATAGGGTTCGTCAAATGAAACTCGTATGCTGTCGGTCCTGACAATTATAAAACAATACTTTAACCCCCCCCCCCCCTCCCTTTAGTCATGCATGGAACTTGTGTTCATATTATAGAATTAACATTTGATGACATGTTTTTTTAAGGACCAGAACTTGATGCACTATGATGATTTGAATGTTATGCTTACATTGCGTTGCGATTGGAGAATAGAATGTTATGATTGGTTTGATAGTATATTGAAAGTTATTGGTCTTATTTTTTTAGCACTGTAAATATAAACATAATAAATGTTGGTGTTTTTTTTTTGTTTTTTGTGTGTGTCACTTTTGTGTTTTTGTATTTTAAATATTGAGTAGCACACTGTTATAGTCTGTATTCCAACAAAGGGCTGGGTCACTGATGCTGTGTTAATGTTAATCTTGGTTGTTGATAATTTAAACAAAACAAGCTATACAACTCTCGCCACGCAATATTTTGAATTGTCTACCCGTCAGCGTCTGTGGTTACCATGTGATGCATTGATGTGCCCAAAAAATCAGAACGAGTAAGAATTATAGTTTCAATATCATAGGAAATTACCACACAGCTAATAGCAAGAGGTTAAAAAAATTGGCTACTTATCAACACTGAACTAAAAGAAGGCTGTGCCTTATACCTTTGGAAGACAGAGCAAATTTTTTATAAAACCAACAGAGCGACTTACACGCTTACACACAAAGGAATAATGATATGTGGAGAAGTCAGACCTTTTTTTTTGTTTTGCGATGTTAATTCTAGTTTATTAGAACCAGGACTCTGCACTATTGAAGAAAGAAGTGCACTTAGTTACTCCACACTATTGAAGGAAGAATTGCACTTACTTAATCTGCACTGTTGAAGGAATAAGTGCACTTAGTTAATCTGCATTTTAAAGGAAGAAGTGTACTTAGTTACTCTGCACTGTTGAAGGAAGAAGTGCACTTAGTTACTCTGCATTTTGAAGGAAGAAGTGCACTTAGTTACTCTGCACTGTAAAAGGTAGAAGTGCACTTTGTTACTCTGCATTTTGAAGGAAGAAGTGCACTTAGTTACTCTGCACTGTAAAAGGTAGAAGTGCACTTTGTTACTCTGCACTGTTAAAGGTAGAAGTGCACTTAGTTACTCTGCACTGCTAAAGGTAGAAGTGCACTTAATTACTCTGCACTGTTGAAGGAAGAAGTGCACTTAGTTTCTCTGCACTGTTGAAGGAAGAAGTGCACTTAGTTACTCTGCACTTTGAAGGATGAAGTGCACTTAGTTACTCTGCACTGTTAAAGGTAGAAGTGCACTTAGTTACTCTGCACTTTGAAGGAAGAAGTGCACTTAGTTACTTTGCACTTTGAAGGAAGAAGTGCACTTAGTTACTCTGCACTTTGAAGGAAGAAGTGCACTTAGTTACTTTGCACTTTGAAGGAAGAAGTGCACTTAGTTACTCTGCACTTTGAAGGAAGAAGTGCACTTAGTTTCTCTGCACTGTTGAAGGAAGAAGTGCACTTAGTTTCTCTGCACTGTTGAAGGAAGAAGTGCACTTAGTTAAGACTTGCTTTCTCTCCAAACGTTTTTTGACTCGTGCTATTTTTAAACCCGTCTCTCCCCCGCCCTCCTCCCCTCAACCCTTTTTTTTTTGTCCCTACGCATTTTAGAGATTTTCCAGATATGTTGTAAACAAGGTTATCTGCTCATGTTCCATAATCTGCTGTTTACATTTTGACTTTGAAGATCCGGTTTATATATTTTTGTAATAAATGAAAAGAAAAATCGGCGATGTGTAGAAATGTGGAGGTAAACTTGAGAAAAACGTAAAAAATGAAAAAAAAAATACGGAGAAATTTTAAACTAAAACAAAACAATTCCAAAAACTAGAGTTGATAGAAACACTGTAACTGTGGCCAACCAAATAATACAAAATTACTTTGCTGCGCTCAAGCGAATGGAGGTTAGATATGTGATATACAGTCACAGTGCTAAAAAGTAAAAAATAAATCTTTACGACCTTTTAAATGAAGCTTACCAAGCTTATCAAGACTTCCTACCTATATTCTTTACAACAGAAACGCCAAAAGAGCTAGCTATTAGTCATAAGTGGCCGTAGATACAAATCTCCAACAGCGTTAAGAAAGAAAAGCTACCACTTTTGATCTCAAAACAATGTTAGTCGGAGAATATATATCATCCGTTTTTTTTGTTTACAAATGTGAAATCAATCTATTTTTTTTTTACAAAGCTTTTAATAACTATTGTATTTCTGTCCGGTAAAAAGTTTGAACACGTTATTTCTCCCACACCCATTCACGGATCGAGTGGAAACTTTAAACAATTATTGTACCCAACAAAATATAAATCAATTAAAAAATTAACCAATTAGTCAATTAATTATTGGTAATTTAATATTCTGTATGATATCGAAGACGGAAATAACTTCTCCATTATTGAGATCTAAAGATTTAAATGCGGCGTTCTTCCCCTTTGATAATTTGATGTTGTTATTTTTAAAGTATTACTTGTTTTTTTTTAAAGTATTTTTATATTTTTCTTGTTCAAAACCTGTTTCTTAAATCTTACACAGAAGGTCCCAGAATAGTTGTAACGTCGACATTCCGAGTGTATAGGGACTGGGATTAAAAGAATACAATAGGCCTATACATCGAACAACAATAGATTTGATATATGAATATGGAGCACGAATAATAAGGGGAACAAATGGGACATAGTTCCCGCTTCTATGTAACAGAATAGTATCGTCATCCCACGGTGCAGGACCGGTCTTAGGCCACTGCAACCTATGCGGTCGCAGTGGGCCCCTCGCTTTCATAGGCCCCGCGCTAATTCTAAACATAATTATTAAATTGCAAAATATATACGAAAAATTCCTGGAAATCTCATGAATTTATTAAATTTTATAAAAATCTTCTGAAAACTCATAAAATCTCCTAAAAAAAGACACAAATTTCATTTGTGGGTGTCATTCATTACGGAAAACGACAACACTACGCGCGATAAAAGGCATTGTCAGCTTTCATGTAATAAAATGTAATGACCGGGGCGGGCAAATTTTCACCTTAATCGGAAGTTCCAATACTTTATTTACTTTTATAGTCACTGGCGTGCAAATATGCCATAGGTTGAAAATCTCGTAAAGTAAAGTTAATTTAGTCGCAATTTTGTGCTTAGTAAAGAATAAATAAAATTCAAAGTCGAATTAATTTTCTAATACAAAATCTTAATTTTCACTTATTATCCCTATTCCCACCCAGACTAGGCCCCGCGCGATCAATTTCGCATAGGGCCACGCAATTGTTAGGACCGGCCCTGTTGTGTACATTCTCTGTGCGTACCTTTTGTTTGCGTGTTAGATTTAAATCTTAACATGACAATACCGGGTTTAAATTTAGTATACATCAGATAAATGTAACCCTTAATTCCACTCATAAGAATTTGCTAGTAATGCAGTAAACCATTTAATTTAACAGTTGTGTCGCTTTGGTAAACCATTAATCTAAGAACTCCCTGATGTAGATAATCAAAATCGATCAAGTTATGTTGAATCTGGCGTTCTCATTGTGCGCTTGGTCGTGTGGTGTGCGCTCTGGACTGTCGACCTGTCGTCGTGATGGTCTCAATGGTGTATGGTTTCGAACCCTAACCCACCGCAATACTCCGCCCCTGACTGTCGTCGTGATGGTCTCAATGGTGTATGGTTTCGAACCCTGCCCACCGCAATACTCTGCCACTATGTGTGAGGCTAGGATGTAATAATCTTCAATTCTTAAGGAAGTCCAAATCCTTTGAAAAAAACAAAAACATGTTATTATTGTAATGTTGATAAAGGCCTCCCCCGACCAGGATCTACGGTCAAATCAGTACAATTAATTGGTTTATCTTACCCCCAAAATTATATCTTCAGGGAATGTGTGCCACAGCACTGGTAAACAATGACGTTGTAAACTCGATAAGAAAATGTGACCCCCTTTGGCCCATGTCCTTTCAGAAATGAAGATTTAAAAAAATACTCACAAGTCGATTTTTTTCCTTCTAAATCTTATCAAGTTATATAGGTACGTGATCTGCTTCACAACATGCCTATCGTGTTGGTTTTGGACTGTACACAGAGATTCGTGTGTCAAGTGGGGAAGCTTGCACGATTCTCATTCTGTAAAAGTAGGCTAAATATAAATATCATCGCAGTGCAACAAGTTTGGGGGCTCACCAGTCACCACACTGTCCTTATCAGAGGCGGCCTAAGCAGTGCGCGGGGTCCTGGGCAAGTATCATACCAGAGCCACGAATAGTTTGTACGAAGGGCTGGCGGGTACAAAAAGGACAATTATCGCGGGTTACCCCACTCGCCGCACCCGAACGCCACCTCTGGGTCACTGCTCTCAAAAGTATTTTCAGCTTTCGACGAAATTTAGAAATGCACGGACAGAAGCAAGAACCTGTTCACTATGAAGTGCGTATGTTACCTACTGCTATCCAGGGCCGGTCTTAGGAAATCGGAGGCCCCAGGCAAAATATAGGCCTATTTGGTGGCAAAAAAATAACACCGAATAAAATAAATTACACAATTTATTTTAAAAAACCTATCTACTGTTATTTCTAAATAAAAAGAATAATTGAGATTCATATCGCGCAATTTCCGTAGCGTGCCAGTGGTGTGCCGAAGTAATAAACCCTCAATATAAACGAACTATGATGGCAGCCAAGTCTAGAAACTTTTGAAATTTTTCACTAAATTTGTTTTTTAGTCCTGTGCGAGGCTCCCATCAATCGGAGATCCCTAGGCTGCTGCCTAGTTTGCCTATGCCAAAGGCCTGCCCTGCATATGATATAGTATAGATATAGTAGCATCAATCGTAAATTTTTACAACAATTGTACCGAGAATCTCGGAAGGAACAATTAGACAACGATTTCAAGTGAATCTAAAAGCGTCTCACACCATCATAAGCACAGCTGAGAGGGAGATAATGTATGTTCAATTTCAAATTAAATATCGTAATTCTCTTTTTTCATTTGTAAAATGTAAAATAGTGTATTAACGTAGATGTATAGATTGTTGAACGCATCATTGTTTGGCAACATTTGACCTGTTATATTTGTATATTGTATATTATATATATGTAACAATGTACTATTGTACATTGTACTATGTATGTATATAGTTATAAATATTGTACATTGTACTATGTATGTATATAGTTATAAATATTTTATAAGATATGTGGTTCTGGTTTGAGGCTTAGAAAAAGTAAAGTTCCCCTTTCAGACCTTCTGGTCTATAGAGCAGATGATGTAATGGTCATCTGTT